TTGTGCATTACCGCGCCATTTTAAAATTTTAATTCATATCTTCGAATTCCTTCAAAAATGTCTCCTTCAAAGATGAATGTTGTTTTTGATAAGTACCAAGAATTTTTGGTTTCGGAATCAAAAAATTGTCCTTTGAGACCTTATTTTCGCCAGCCTGGCTTTCCTAATCAAAGATTTATTTATAAATTCTAACAAGGGTCAGAGGAAATTTATTTTAAATTTTTGAAGGAACGTCGCTAATTGTTTCTTCAATGAAGTGCGAAAATGTAGATCACAGATGAAGACCGTTAGAAGAGCCGATTCTGAGACGGCCGTATATGATATTGTGGTCATGTTGGAAGAAATAACCGCTGTAACGGTAAGAAAATTATTAGACATTCCTCCTTTTTTACCAACAATAAACTAATTGCTGTCATTTTAGCTCTAGTGTACGAAGCGTTCTTATTTACACATTTTAAAGTATTTAAGTAATATTTTAATTCTTTTAAACGTTGGTATGATGGTTTTTAATTCGATATTCAATTTACGTAATATTTTAATCCAGTTTAAACGTTGGCGCAATGTTTTTATAGTGGTATTTTTATTCTATTTCTATGCTATATGAAAGTAATAATTTAACCTTTCTTTAGTATTTATACTCGTAGTAAATGTATTTATTCTATATAATATATATATATATATATATATATATATATATTATATATAACGTATTTTAAAGTATTTAAATTTAATAATATTCTAAATTCTTTTAAATGTTGGATGATGTTTTTATTTCGATATTCAATTTCAGTAATATTTTAATCTAATTAAACGTTGGCACAATGTTTTTATAGCGGTGTTTTTATTCTTTTTTGCTATATGAAGTAATAATAACCTTACTTTAGTATTTATACTCATAGTAAATGTATTTATTTACACTTGCCTGCCATCTTAAAAAACGACATTTTCAACAAAAAAATTAATCCATTATTTCTAAGGATATTTATTTATTTATTTTTTTTTTTTTTAAGTTTCGAATACTTTACTATGCGTAAAAACAGCGTTTTTCAAGATGGCTGACGTTTGTAGAAATCGCGCCAACAATTGCGCCAACGTAAATCGCCAAAAATCCGTGCAACCGTCTACCAAAGTAGCACCGTGAAACCTATCAAGCGGCGATTCTTAAGATCGACAAGCAAAGAAAATTTTTGTAAAAAGTCAGCGACAATAATAGGACTTGAAACAGTAGCAATAATGAATGGCCATTGGAAGTTGCGGCGAAATCCTAAATCAACAGGTATCGGGAATTCACCAAAAGTTTGAATAAGAGTTCCATTTGCTACATAAAGTTGTAACTTGGCAAGGCGTTTTGTTCGTGAAAATGTGGTGGAACGATAGAAACATCAGCCCCAGTGTCTACAAGAAAGGTTAAGCCCAAATTCTTTTCGATAACGAAAAGGCGTGCAAAATTCCGGCCGCTGTCGTTCACGACTTCGAGCAGCGGTCCTTTTCGTTTCCCTGGTCGTTATAACGATACGGTGGGCGACATTTGTTTGCCTTGTTTCCAAATTTGTGGTGGTAAACACAAATACCCTGAGGAGAGCTTTCATAACATTTCCTCAGTTTGCTACGACGTGTATTTCGACCACGTGGATATGGAGCGGTTGCGCTGAAAAGGTTCAGCTTGGATGGCTACTAACTGAGCAACCTGTTTGGACAAATCATCAATTTGAGCCTGTAACGCCACAATACCTGGACCAGAAGCCTGCATTGCGCTGGAATGGCCAGCTCGTGAATTTTATCAGCAATTTTGGGAAGATTTTTATGTGGTTCGCTACTGGCCGCTAAAATGGTTTGCATGTTAGATGAGAGTTCCATCCATCCATAAGGTTTTCAGAATGTTGTCCGTTAGGTTACCGGCGGCTACGTCTGACATTTTAGACAGCAATTGAAAAGTCCTCATATCACCCAACCGTAAATTGTGCAACAGCTGTTTGATTTTAACTGTCTCGGATTCTTCATAAATAGAAATGAATCTTTTTTTAAAAGATTTGCATTTGTCGGTCGCCGGTGGATTCAAAATTATTTCATGAGCTGATTGCAGTACCTCTGATTCAAACGCGGCGATCGCTGTATAAAACTGAGTAATGTGACTTAATTTAAAGTGCACATACAATTGAATGAACCATAACGATGGGTCTCGGCGACAAAAAGGCAGTGGCTTAACTGCCACTCGCGCCAATTGTGAAGCAGCATCGTTGTCAACCACTTTAGATCAATCAAATATGCACAACAGTAATATGTATAGAATATGCACAATAATAATATGTATCGAAAAATAATCTCATATAGTGACACAGTTTTTTGGTACTTGAAATCAGAGAAATTGGAGGCTCAAATGCAGCAGACGATACATATATCCGCTGAAATTATGACAGACATACTATGTTTCTCGCCGGAATGCGGCACAACGCTTGAAATGACAGGTGAAATGTCTTACTTGCATCTCATCGACACTGGATAACTTACTGCTGCTCACAATTTTGACATATAAACTTCATATTCGTGCAACATTGAAGGTTGCTATTCGTAATAAATCCCGGTCACCAATTATGAAATTACAGTTTTTGAGACATATCGTTAAATAATTATAACAATTGAATAGAATAAATATTATTTTGTTTTTGGTTGCTATGGGTTAACAGACTGGCAGAGGTGAAGTTGTAGTAGGCAAGTTCCCACATATCTGTATATTAAACTTTTAATTGTTTAAAAACTGTACTTTTTGAAAAACACTTATATAAATATGCAAAATAAATAACACCTTTTTAACTAATTCTAGATCATCGTATGTCTGATTTTTCCACCGACATAGATGCAATTCCGAATCCAAGGCTAGTGTAGTTAGGTAGTGATTATTCTTAATATATTTTTGGGTATTTTATGGCAGATTCAGCATTTTACTATTATTTGCATTATTTTCTTATTACGAATATATTCTATACATTGCATTACTAAAAGTTCTTTTTTTTTTGTGTGTGTAGGGGGGCGCCAAAAAGGTATTTTGCCCCGGGCGCCGGTTATGCTTGTTACGCCACTGAACTCGCGTCATGATTTTATTAATACATTAAAAGTCTCGTGTTCATTCAATAAAGTTATTCATAAAACAAGGTCTCGTGGATATCTCCTGAAGTTTATTGACGCCATTACGTAACACTAGGTTAAGAAATGAAATCATGAAATAGTAAAAGCTGTGTTAATTTGTGATATAAAATTATTGTTGCGTGCGTACGGGTTCGTTACGAAATGAATGCACAAGTCCGATGAAAAATGAACAAAAATTTATTATTATAACAACAAATATGATTAAATGTCCTCAAATAATCGTGCAATATCACAATATATCACAGTAGTTATCTTTTAACTACTCAAATGTCCAATAGAACGTAATTCAAAACAGCTAAAGAAAGCTAAGCCGCGAATTCGCTACAATCAACAAGAGCAGTTGGATAATATATATATAAGTAATTATCAATTCGTACGCTTAGATTACCATCAAAAGAAACCTCAAGGGTCCTCAAAAAATCTGAAAGCGGAATACCTTAATACGGGTATCCCGTCATAAAAGGCTAGTCAGCACCTTTACGCAAGTCGGCGGCTTGCGTAACTTGCACCTTTATGCAAGTCAGCGTCAGGTGCTGGCTGGCTTCAGCGACTTGTGTACTAGCTTTCTTTTAATATTCGTCACGCGCTGCATTGCGCGAGAAATAAAACCATTTAATTTATAATTGAACTAACATTAGCTTAATTAAGACACAATAACACGCCGAATAAATACTAATTCAGGAGTCAAACAACAAAAATCAGCGTTAATTTACAAAATTTTCACAGGACTAGTTTCGATGGTTTTACCGAACCATCATCTTCAGCTGCAAAACCGCAAAACCGCTTTGCGGTTTTGCAGCTGAAGATGATGGTTCGGTAAAACCATCGAAACTAGTCCTGTGAAAATTTTGTAAATTAACGCTGATTTTTGTTGTTTGACTTCTGAATTAACATTAGCTTTTTAAATACCAAATTCGTAACACTATGTTATGGAATGTGAAAAGTTTCATAAAGTGTAGAAAGGCCAAAAGGCAATGTAAAATGTGTTTGTCATTAGAATATTTAGAATACATCGTGGCGAAATACGGTTCTCATCTAATAAGTGGGCTAAATTTTTATATGAGTTCTATTACTATGGGATGATTGATTATAAATAAGCATTTTTTGTTGGCCTTTCTTGTGATTATTCCTCATTCTGTTTGTATGATGCCAGTGCCTTTTTTTGACTCTAGGATCCGTTAAAAAAAAAAAAAAAAAAAAAAGAGAGAGAGAGAGAAGAAGGTAGTACTAGATGATGACGTCTAGCGGCAATATTGATAAATTCAGAAATCTGCGCATTACCCCGTTTTGCTTTTTGTGCCCTCAATTTTTGCTTTTCAGAATTTCTCTTAGGATGTGCTTCATTGCGCAGGTCATATCTTGTCAGGGGCTTGCAAGGAGGCATATGGTTGAGTTAAATTTTGAGAAATAATGAAGAAATCTTTATATTAATTAGTGATTTAGAACAGTTCGTTAGTGTTGTGTATAAGGTAAAAATCATGGGATGTTAAATTCACTAAGGTAGAAAATTCTTTACAAAGGGTAAGAACTTTATATATATATTTATACTGAAAGCATATTTAGTATAAATTCGAAAGATTCAGCATTGTGTATGAAAACATCCTTTTTTTTTTTTTTTTATTTTAATTTTCTTAAATAATGGCAACATCAAGTTTGTAACGTCGTCTGAGTTAAAATCTCTGCAGTAGGATTTTATGTTTACATGTTCCACCTACGATGGAGAAAGGCGGTACTAGTACTACCTGTTTCACGAAAATTTCAGTAACTGTTTGGTAAAATTGTACGTTTGAAAAATAATGCGCCTGTAATCTTAACTAACGGATGAAATGTATATTCAAATTATTTATTATTAGATTGAGAATTTAGATTGTGATTTCTTTGACATTTACTAAGCTATCCGTAAAGATTTTTTTTTCTTTTTTTTAAATATCTGTCTTAGATTTTCTCATTAATGGACTAATTTCGGAATACTTAAAAATTTATTTTTTAAATGGTGGATTATTTTGCTATTTATCATATTATTTTGCTGAAGATTCTGACACAAGTATGATAAGGTAAAAAATGAACCGTATGTTAACGCCGAGTACCATTTTGATCCTTTTTTTAATGATCCCAAATTTTTAATTTTTTGAAGACATAATATTTGATCTCTGGTATTACACAAATATGCTTTAGGAAGCAAAAATTTCAGTTTGAGATGAAATTTATTTGCATAATAATTCCATGACACATTTAAAATTCCTTTCATTATTTGTATTGTATCAATATGTATGTATGTAAAATTAGCTTCCACACATTTTATTAATAAATTTCTCGCACTTTTTTTTTCTAGTCCACTAATGACTGACAAGGTAAGATTCTTGAACACTGGTAAATTCCTGTAATTTTATCCTGCCTAATAGCATAACAGGGCTACATTTCTATTTTTATAGTTTCTTGCTATCTACATTAAAAATAAATTTTAAAATAAAAATTTAAGAAATGAATTCTTCATAGTAACCATTTACAATTTAAATTTTTATGCACACAATAAAATCATATTTGAATAATTGTTTAGTGACAAAATTATATTTGTTGCTTTCATTACATAACCATCTAGTTTTGTTTTGCACAGGGAAAAATCTTAAATAGGTTTTTTTTTTTTTTTTTTTTTTTTTTTTTTTTTTGCATATAATAAAATTTTCCGTTTCAGAAATGAATGTAAAAATTGACTTTTTTTTTTAACCCCTCCAAAAAGTATTAGATTTTGTTGTTAAATTATATTTAAAACTTAACTCTGATATAATTTAAATTAGAAAATGTACAATGTATATTTCTAAATTGTAATTTTAAAACTTTTATTGTTTATGGTATTACATCTAAATCAATAAAGCTCTTAATTTTATATTGTATTTATTTACATGTATAGAATATGGGATATTCTAGGTAATATGAAAAAGAAGAAAAGTGCTGCTTTCTATAGGAGACATGTTTGTTGATTGGACAATAGACACATCATCTGTCTTCGAAGCTTTGAATTTAAAAAACCTTGCTACCTGGATATGTTCAAGTGCAATGATATTTGGGGGTGTTGTACCCTACATTCCACAATATCGAGAAATCTGGAAAACAGATAATGCTGATGGGTTTTCATCATATGTTTGCTTAGTTTTACTAATTGCCAATACTTTAAGAATTGTGTTTTGGTGAGTAATGTTCTAATACATTCTCATATATGATATATGAATGGCCATAATAATGTAACTTATTTAAAATTATTTTTTAGGCATTATGTAATCATTTAAGTATTATGTATTAGTTTAGATATTAGGCAGAAGTTAAAAATTTGTATTTAAAATAGGTTAGTTATGTAAGTAATTAAAATCCTGAAATATTAAAATATCAGTTAGCATTCCTTAACATTGTATTTTTTTTTCTGCATTTATTATGATACAGAGATTTAATATAAAGTTTATTTAAATTAACCGGGAAGAGAAATATTAGTGAGTTAGGAATTTCCCACTACTCTTTTTTTTTTTTTTTTTTTTCAAAATGGAAAGTAAAGTACTGATATAGTGTTTATCTTAGAATTTTTTTTAACGTCTGACATACTGTTTTTGACAATAAATGTTGTCTTTTGTTGCACTGTCTTTTTATGCTGTTCTTCATTTTATTTATTTATTTATTTATTTTTTACATGCTACTGTTTTTGGATTTATATTTTTTCATTCCATTTGCATTTGTGTTCTATAATTAAGTTTTAATATATGGATTTATATTATTGCATCATTGTATCGTATTTAGTTTCTGATGATTTTATATTCTTAAATATTGTAAGTCAATTTAATTTTAAGGCTGAAACACCTGTTTAGTTGTTAGCAATTATTTATTGCCGTTTTCTATGCCATGAAAGAATCGGAATCACCCACTGCTGTCGCATTTTTCAAAATCGCCAACTTGGTGTGCTCTCGAATCTTTTAAAAAATTAAGTGATTTAAAAGCAATTAACATAGCACTTTATTTCTAATATTATTAATTACTAGCTGGACTCCTTAAATTATTATATATAATTTTTCTTTTTTATACTAACAATTTAAGGCACCTGGCTGCACAGACAGCTAGTTTTTTTTTAAACCCTTTGACGCAAGCGGTATTATTTTTATAATATTTTTAACTAAAAACTCTAGAAATTAAATATTATTAATAGCATGGGTTTAGATCTGTAATATGTGTTTAATACTTAATGTACATTTTTTGCATGTTCTCTTTTATCTTCTTTCTAATTTAAAATAATGGGCATATACTTTTATTTTAGGTTTGGACATCCTTATGAATTTCCTCTACTTTTTCAAAGTATCACAATGATTATTGCCATGTTAGCAATGATGCATTTATGTATCAAAGTAAGAAATAAAACAGTGATTGTTCCTGCTAAATCTCGTCTCTTTGCAGGTGTGTGTATAATAAAGAGGCATAGCTTATAATCATGTATTACGTTACTATGTAAATTATTTTATTTATTTATTTCTTCAATGTAAAAGTTTTTTCTAAGATTTTTGTATTACCAAAAGCAAATTATATAAAAATATTATATTACTATGCATTTGTAATGCATCATGATTAATTGAATTATTTTCTCATTATTCAATTTGATGTTTATGGATTTTCAATTACTTTTAATAAACGCATGTGATTACGTTTGCCATAAGTGTGATGTATATGGTTTAAATTGAAGTCTTTGCATGTTAGCTATATTCTGCTCTCTTTTCTTGTGCAGCAAATGAGGATGAAGATAAACAAACAGAGATCAAACTTTTCTACTCTTCTTCATCTACTCCTCGGTCTTACTGGGGTACGTCTACTACTCCCTAACCTCATTCCTGTTCTATCATTTCTTTTTTTATCATAATATCTCTTATCATATATACTCACACAATTAACTCTGATCTTTATCTCATACCTTTGTTATTTTAAAAATTAAAACTATTAATATTTCTTTAAAACTAAAATCATGACTATAGGTCAAATTTTGTAGTTTTCATTCTTATATGTGTATGTAGATATAGATGTGTATATCATATATATATGTGTATGTAGACATAGAAAATAATTTGTTTATTTCATACTCATATGTAGATATAGATATGTAATAATTGAGCTGTCAATTTTGTGAGATCATGTTTTTGTTTCGTTAATAAGCATTTACATATAATTGTATAAAGAGTAACACTTTGCTGCTATGAACATCTTGTAGTGTAATGGCCGAAACAGCTACGCAAAACCTGGTTTATGATACAGGGTTGAAATGAACTTCGAACTCAAGTTCTAACAATAACTGGAATTTTATTAAAATAAAAACATTAACAGTTGGAGTTCATGCCGATGTTGGACTTGGATATATTCAGACCCGTAGTTTCAGAAATTTGTGAAACAGGAAAATGTGCTGTTGCTATTAACTTATACATGAGGAGCCAATATGCCCATAGCTCCAGCAGGAAAGTCCTGACTCTTCTCAGTAAACCAGCTCACTTTCTCACTGCCAAAATTGTTTCTAACTCGTGGTGTCTTTACCTGTGCTGAACTCTAGGAAGGGGGGGGGAGAGAATATCATCCCTCGCACATAACAAAGGTGTACACCTTCTGACCCTAATGAAAAAACTTCATTTATCCATTTGTCCCTTGGAGTGACGTTCGAGGATGAAAACAATCATTAATGAAAGGTACCTCGTAGCAATGAGATTTCTTCTCTGGTAAGAAAGAGGTACAGGTACCATTGCATTTAGAAATCAATCATCCTGGGAAAACTAGACAAAGAACCTCTAAACAACCTTATCACAATTTACAAATATGTACCATGTCCGTAAAAGTTTTTATGCAGCCGTTATTTTTGTAGGTATAGGTCAAAGACTTGTGCTTCGTATTATAGAAATGTTTTAAATGATGCAAATGTTTTTTTTTTTTCTAGAATTTTTAGTCCAAAGTGGCTTTGTCCCTGAAGGACTATTGTTTTTGTTTTGCGATTTTGCATTGAATCACTATAAATGTCCATTTAACTTTTCAAACTGTTGCCACCAAATGTTAGAGTCCTGCGTTATATTTGAAGAAATTAAATAATGAAAAATCTGCATGAATGTATGTATTATTCTCGCATTGGGATAAAACAATGGTACTAAAATCATCCAATTTTGAATGACGTAATCTTCCTACGAATATGGGCATGTAAAAGACTGAAATTTAGAATTTGTTTTATTATTGGTTTCATATTTTGTAAAACTTTAATGCATTTTTGAGTAACAAACTCAACGATTTAAAAGCGAGCGATGGCAACACTCTAGAGGGGGGACCTTTTTATCTCCTACGGGTGCGAAACTGTGTATCGGAAATCCTAAAGATATGCTCATTTAAAAATTATTTTGCGACATTGCTACTGAACTGAATTTTATGGTTTAAGTGCAAAGAACATGATATTTAATAAATAAAGGTAACACACAAAACGTTAAAAAAAAAAAAAAAAAAAAAAAAAAAAAAAAAACCTATGGATGTAATTTAAAATCTGAAACCTTTCAGATTTTTTTTTAAAAAAATTATAGAATCAATTTTTTAAAAATTACCATATCTTAACCTTTTCTATGATCCCCTGGCTTCTGTAGTTATATTAAGTTAAAATTAAGTTTGATTCTTGTATAAAAAAATAACCAACATTTAAAATTTTATGATTTCTAAAATGTTGAGTTGTACTTAACTGTGTGACTGCTACGTGGCGCAAAATCGCTGTGTTAATTTGTCTCGAAAACCGCGACACAGTTAGTTATTTTAGAATGCACTCGTGTTACAAAGTACGCGTGAGGTCAGAGTATCTTCACACCCACGGGGAGCAACAAAGATACACTGAAACTTGCAGTACTTTTGCACTACATTGCGGTTTTCAAGACAAATTAACACAGCGCTTTTGCGCTGTGTAGTAGTCAAATGGTTATTTTGAAGAATGAAATATGATAATTTTTTTTACTAAAAATGAAGCATCAGTTTAATAAAAAGTTTCTGATATCCGTAAATTAATTAATGAGTATTGACATGCAAATATTCATGAAAAATGTAGATAGCATATTTTTTCCTCCCCAAAAAGGAGCTATTGTTCACCGACACTGAATATAATTTGCGTTCTAGAAAATAGTGGTAGGCTTCAAGTATTAGCTCATAACCAACTCAAATCTTTATTGGCATAAATTTAAAAATATTTCTTGTGTAATGTATTTTTGTGTGTGATTATTTAGATTATGATTCTAAAATAATAAAACTATGTCTGAATATCATCAATGCAGTTTTAGAATTTGAAAATTACGTATGGGAAAATGGTTTCGGCTAATCATAATGTAATAAAATTATAAATTAAAGGATGGTGCACACTATTAATCATAAAGGAATGTCATTTAAGTGGTGGGGATCAATTTTGTTACTATTTTATTTATTTTTTAATTTCTGTATTTGTTATTTTGTTACTTTCTGTCTATCTGCACCTCCACTGAAAAGTCGTGAAAAAATACTTAAGGCACGGCAGTATGTCGCCAAAATAATTATGTGGCAGTTCATAGTGTTGCCAAAATATATTTATGTGACAACCCAGGTATGCATGTTACACATGTCCTCTTTGGCTGGTCCACAATGCCAGTGCTGTATGTATGATACCAGGTTTATGCAATTCTAAAATATCGTTTTTCTAATTCTGTTTCTGAAGTTTGTTTCTATTCAAATTGTGTTGATTGATTTCTTTTACAGGGAATTGTTACTGAGCTGCTATTTTGAAAGTGGCTATTGCTTTTTGTGCATTATTTTAGCATAAAATTGGTCACCAGCGAGTTCATAAATGCTGTCCAAAGTCAGCATTGAGTTAGCAGCTTTTTAGTGAGGGTTGTGGATAATCAGAAGTAACCTTTTTTTTTTATCTGACCCTTCAAGGAAAACAATAAGCCGAATTTACTGGTACTGTAAAATCTCTAAAAATTCCAAGCATAAAAATTTATTGATCAGGTGTTTTTGTTGTATTGGAATCAAACATTTTTTTAAACACCTAAAACACCAGGTATGTCTACAGAAATTGGGAGACCATAATGAAAGGTAGATTTCAAGCTTTTTTACAAAACTGATTTTTTTAATTTAGAAATGCCAAAACATGAATTGGCACGATTTAAAACTATTATAAAGTATATATTTCTGTGACCAATGGTTGAAAAAATAAAGGCTTCATTAAGACTTTTATGGATATTGAGTATAATGAATTGATGCTGAAGGCACTGTTGAAAGCTGTTTGTGAGAATGACCTGTATGACTTCCTTTTTATAGCAATAATAATCTGAAATTGATGCCCACATAGCTTTGCACTGATGTGAAGAATTAAGAAAAATATGTTGTGATTGGTGAGTATGGAGAATGATATATGCACGGTGTTTATTGGTATTATTAGCTTATCAATTTTGATTATCTGGAACATGACAATCATATTAAAGAAGTATGGAAAATAATGACCTGTTGCTTTGTCGTGTGTTATTGGGCAAACACAGTTTAATTTTATAAGTGTTTTGATGTAGACCATAATTTTAGTTGTAAACATTTACATAAATTATAAAAATATATAAATTTTTGTATATTATCATATTAAGATATGATAAATTTTTATTGGTACTTATGTATTTTTGCGAATAAGTCACCAAAATTTCAGAATGCACTAAACTTTGGCAATTAAATGCATGGTTATTCTGCACTTTTAATAAATAATACTGCCACTTTTTTATGTTTCCATTTTGTTGCACTCTAAGTTCCAATGGTTTCTATAGACAAATCATGTTATGTTTTTCTGTAAATTAAATTTTAAAATATGTGCTGCTGAGATTTACTTGCAGTAAAAGAAAATGTGGCAAAATTTTTATAGAAATATAACATTTTTTGGGGATTTTTGATGGATTTGCAGAATTAATACCAAACTGAAATAAAATATGCATTTAAGAAATATTTTTTTTGTGTATGTGCTTTTAAGTCATCATTCTTTGTCTTTTTAAAAAAGCTGCCAAATTATACTGACATAGTTGCAATAAACCATATGTTTCAACTATGAATTTTCTAATCCTGATAATCCCAGACACAAATATGAATAGTCAAGGTTGAATATTCAGATATGCATTTTGCTTTTCTTGTTTTAATTGTTGAATGACCTTTATTTTAATTTTTCTAAATAGTTTATTGTTCTTTTTACTTTGCTTTTAAGCTGAGTTTCATTGAGTTTGTTTTTCGAAGATATGCATGGAGCTGCAATTAAATTCTGTTGCTTGCTGCCATAAAAAATGTCCATTTCATCGCTAATTTTATTGTATAAAGTAATGAATAAATTATGATAGTGTGTTTTATTATAAACATTATTGAAATTGATTTAATATATTTTAAAACATATATTAAAACATTTCTTTTATTTCTGCATAATTTCTGTAAAGTAGATTTTTATATATTTTGAAAACTTCTGATATGTATAATTTTTAATACTTTCAAAAATTAATTGGTATTATGGCACATGAACATAAATTAAATATAGTTTGTTACAGTTATGTAGTTGCTGTTAAAAAGAAGAGACATTTTCAAATATCCCTAAATCTGCCACAGTTTCAACTCGGTGTGTTCCCAAAATGCAGAATATATCATTTCCAAACTTTATGATCTCCTAATATGATTACACATTATTTTAAACAACCAAATGATTGTAAATTTTTAAAAATCTCATCTAAAATATCTGATCAATTAATCAGTTCTTGTATTTTCCCCATAATTAATATTGATCCTTTTTGATTAGTATTTTTTTGGTAGATT